GTAGATTGCAGATATGGCAGCTAGTATAGAACCTGCTGTGCAGGCAGACTACTTAAATTAGACAACCAAAAGTTGTACGTATGGCTAGTTGTATACTCACCTTGTACAAGTTATGTAATCATAATTAAAATACAATAAAGGCAATAGCTGCCGATAGCTACGGCCTTAGCGAAAGCAAAAAAAAAAAAAAAAAAAAAACTGAAAACAGGAACAGCTCTAGGCATATTGGATATAAATTATATTCTAATAAAGCAAACAGAAAAGAGAACACAAAAAGTATTCAAAGATTTTGTAGAATTATGTCTAGAAGTAGTAAAAAGACCAACTAAATAGAAGATAATATAAGTTTATTCAATACCTAAAGATGTTGAATGAAGATATATTTTAAATAACATTCAACTGATAGTACTAATAAAAACATTTAGAAAAGTTACAACAAAAGTGATAACAAGAAGGCTTGCCAAAATATTTATAAAAAAGAAAATACTCAAAGGACCAAACTATGCAGATCTTCTAGTCAACTCAATGAAATAACCAGTATATATTCTTAATATGATAATAGAAAAAGCAAAAAAAAAATAAAAAAGTATTAATATTTTTGCAAGACATAAAAAAAACATTTGACTCAGTTCTACTTGAGAGTCTGAAACTAGTATTGCAAAGATTTAAAAATATCTAAAAGAACAATAAAATAAATCTTAAAACTGTTTTAAGAAAGACAACTAAAAATTATTACAGCTTATAATTTAACAGAAAATATAACAGCATTTAGTATTAATAGTTAATAAATGCAATTTTAATATTATATATTTCTTTTTTGTAATAAAGAATTACTAAAAAAATTTAATGATTACAAAATAATAAAATTAATTTTTTAGTTATTTTTTAGAATTTATAATATCTTTCATTTTTAAAAATGTTTTAATCTAAAAATTAATTCAATATACTTAATATTTTAAAAAACTTGTTTTAATATTTTATTTTTTAAATTTTTTTTATATTAATTGTATTATTTATAGCTATACAAATAAATTTATTAATTTTAATTTTATATATTATATTTTTAATTTTTATAATATTTCTATAATATGTTTATTATTAATACAAACTGATTTATAAAAATCTAATTAGATATAGTTATTATATAATTAATTATTAATATATAACTTGTTAATATTTAATTAATCATTACTAATTAAGATGTATTATCAAAATTAGTTTGAAAATCTGGTTTTAAATTTATATTTTTTTTATTAAAAAATAATTTTTAAAAAATATATAATAATAAAATATTAAAAAAGAATAAGTTTTTTTAAAAAAAACTTAAAAATCCATATTTTAATTATGTTATATAGAGTTCCTAATGTATAAAGATATGGATAAGTAAAGAATCCAATTCAATTTGACCTTAAAAAATTTTTCTGAATTCAAAATCTTTTGACTTTTATTAGTATATAATAAAGATTTTTCTTTATATTATATAAAATATAAACATTTAAATGCACTTGTAATCAAGTTGTATTTTTTACATATTCGTTACAATATGGCTTATATTTATAGCATTCTTTATTCTTCTCATTAATTCATATTTTATTATTGATTTAAATATTTTTAATTTCAATATGAAACATTTTATACATGATTTATGAATATTTATTTAAATTTTTATACAACTGATATATAAAAAATATAATAGACTTTTTTTTTATTATATCAAATTTATATAATTATATGTAATGGTAATAACATTTACATTTATTAGGTACGTACGAACGTACATATTACGAAATCGATCAGTATTAATCATATGATATAAAAATTACATTAAATTTAGATTTCAGAAACTTACCAAAAATTACGCCCTAATTATTACATTACTTTTAATTACACTGTATGCGAATTTTCTAGTCATTTTATTAATAGTGCTTAAAATTTTTAAAAATTCTTGTTTAAATCTGAATTATAAATAAAATACGTAGTTCAATAATGCTTATTAAAATTATTAATCGGAAACCGATGTATGAAGAATAGGAATTAATAATATCTGTATCATTATTTAGATAAAATCAGTGCCAAATCATTCTTCAAGTCATACCGATTTTTTTATTTATAGTCATAGGCGTAGTTGTCTTATTGGCTAATAAATTTAATTTAATTTTACATTATTCATTAAAGCTGTAGGATTCCATAGTCAAAAATAATATCTAATTCTCGTCCGTTTAATAAAACTAGCTTAGTAAAATTAAATCGAATTTATTATCTAATTAGACAAATTTCTGCTTATGATACGAATTTATAGTGCTGATCATGTGACTGGTCGGACAGAAAATTCAGAATTACGTTTGTGTCCCTGTACATGAAATTTAAGGGCTCATCGCCTCGCTCCAGACAATTAATAATTTAGATGTCTTCAAGCTATTTGTGCGTAAGATTAACGTGATCTAAGATTCTGAAGTCGGCAAATTTTAATTCCATTTGGGTCTGCATTAGCAATTTTTTACGTATCACCATTTCTACATTTGGACAACATGCGAAGATCTCCCGGCCTAACATTCACCCATGGAGTAAACGGATAGTATGTGTCGATTTATTTATTAATCTTACTTCTAGAAAATTACTTCCGGACCAAGACTTAAGACTTTACGAAGTAAAATACGTGCTGACAAATCGATAATCATGTTGACAAATCGATAATGATACCAAATTCCAGTTCGGATGGTTGGTACAGCTGACAAATTTATGATAACATCATTTGTCAGAAATTATATACACAAATATCTGCCTAGATGGTCGATAAGCGCGCTAACATATATATAAGCATGCCGCGAATGCCTTTTTTGCTACTCTCAAAAGAATTATTAAGTATTATAATATATAGTTATATATATATAAATTTATTTGATAAAAATTCCTACACAAATTTTTTTCATAAAAATCTTTTAGAAAAATTTCCTTATAAAAATAACTTTTTATAAAAAATTACTTTTCTACCAATTTTTATATAAATTTTAACATTAAAAAATGGCAACAAAACCAAATATCATAATCATTGGTGGTGGATATGGTGGAATAAATGTAGCTACAAAACTCGAATTGGCCCTTCATAAAACCCATCAGATCATTCTTATTGAACGTAAAACCTACTTCTACCATGCAATTGGTGGTCTTCGTGCAGCTGTTGAAGATGGATTCGAACATAAAATTATGATTCCTTATGATAATCTTTTTAAGCATGGAGGAAATGTTCTACATACTACAGTTACTGCAATTCATGAAAAAGAAGTTATTGTTAATACAGAAACTCAATGGGGAACTTGCATACCATTTGAATATTTGATAATTGCTACTGGCTCTAATCACTCTAAACCTGCAAAGATGATAGCGAATAATAAAGAAGAAGGTGCTTCCGAAATAGTTGCTCAAAGAGAAGCCATAAAAAATGCAAATAAAATTTTGATTATTGGTGGAGGTCCTGTGGGCATTGGTACGTTTATAATATAGTATTATAAATAAATTTCATATATTATAGAATTATTGTCACTAATTTATTATTTATCATATTTATTTATATTATTTTTAAATAGAACTTGCCGGTGAAATTGCATCGATTTACACTGACAAAGAAATTACACTTGTTCATTCAGAAGATCATTTGCTCTCAGAAAAATTCCCAAAGAAAATGACAGATCTTCTTGCTAACCAATTGAGAGAATTAAATGTAAATCTTATTTTTGGAGAAAAAGTTATTTTTCCCTCTTCTGGTATTGGTGACGGTTTGTCTCCCTTAATACTAGAAACTAATAAGGTAAATATTTAGTATCTATTTTCATTCACATGCCTAGTACTACCCATAAAACTCAATTTATCCTTTTTTATAGGGTAAACGAATTGATTCTGATGTCCAATTCTTAGCTTTTGGTGCAAAGCCTAACACTCAAGTTATAGAAACTTTGGACCAATCATTGATTGAAAAAGATACTACTTTAGTAAAAGTTAAACCTACTCTCCAATTGGATAATGATAATTATGCACATATCTTTGCTCTCGGGGACATAACAAATATTAAAGAAACAAAACTTGCATATCGTGCTAACCTCCATGCCGATGTCGTAGCAAAGAATATTGTTGCACTAATTAAGAATAAAAAATTGAATGAATATAGCCCTGGTCCTGAAGTTATGATTGTTCCCATCGGAAAGGTGCTTTTTTTTTTTTCTTTACATCATTTATTTACTTTTTTTTGTTTAATATATTTATTCTAATGCAAATTATATTTTTCTTTTAAAAATTAGAATAAGGGTGCAGCACTTTTACCAATGGGTAATATGGTCCTAGGTAGCTTCACTGCGAAAACCCTAAAGGGTAAAACTCTTATGGTCGATAAAATGTGGAAAGGATTAAATGCAACACCTGCTTCATAAATGTCTTTATTAGTTTTACTCATAATGTTATACTAGTAAATAGATTTGTTTAAGCACAAATATTAATTTACCATAATATAAACTTTAATAAGACTATTGTATACAAATTTTTATTCTTTTATATTTTATTTTAGTGTGCAAATTTTATATACCATATATATATTTATAAATATAAACTATTGCATTGCATAATATTTTCATTGTTAATAAAGGCATTATAGTTTAATAATAAGACTTTATAATCAGCTACGAATAACATTCAAATTAATTTTGCATAGTCTATATTGATTAAAAGTATTTTTGAAAAAAATCAATGCAATACATAATAAATGAAAAGAGTACATGTTATTTAGAATTAGTCTTTAAACGCACACCTTTTTAAAAGTTATTTTAGCACAATTTTTTAGAAATAGATAAAATGAAATTATTACTTACTATGTTAATTACTTAAAAAAAGTGTACCTTTTACAGTAAAATTCTGTAATTACAATAAGCTTCTCTATAATTATTTTTTATATCTCGTTTTCCAACGATAATATTTTCTACAAACATTTATTCGACATCACATACGGTGACAATTTGCTAACAAAATATGCTTGCATATAAAGTACGTACATACGTACTTAACAAATGTTGAAGCTTGTAAAAAATCTGTACCAAATTTTTTTGAACATTCGGCCTAGATTGATTGACAACAACTTGCATTAAGTTGATTTTGAATTTAATATTAGGTAGAGATAGACGAGCATTTAAATAAAGCTCGTTGCCAAAATTATAAGAGAGATCTTTTGTCAGGCACGAAAAACTGGTTCATGGACAAAACCTGGCATAGGATTCTTGAGTATATGACAAAGCGGTTGAAAAAGGCTTAGAGAAAACTAAAAATTTTCCAATAAATTTTATGAATGTTATATTCTATATTATGCATTGTTGTTATTATAATTGAAAGTTGAAATGTTAGCAGAAGCATGATTTTAATAGACATACATACGTGTACGATTTTGATGATTATGCTAGAAGTTGGTTATTCTTGCTTTATCCCTTTCATTACGTTGTAATCGTAAAACGGCGAGTCAGTCGCTAATCGGTCGGATCTCTCGTGTAACCTTTAGGGTCGGTAAATCG